AACCTTCTGACAGCTTTTCACAAAAGCCACTCCTGTTGCCACTCCACTGCCAGTACCTTGCCAGGCAAACCAAATATGCTGATAAAAATTGAGGCTTGTTAACAAACTGTGAAAGCCATTCCTGTAACAGGATGTTAGGAGAGTCAGGATGAGACACATAACGCAATTTTGGAACAAGATAATGTCATACTCTGCCTCTGAGAAACATGAGATATTTTACTCCTGTGAGTAGTGAGCAATCATTAGCACTAAACACAGGATGTTTTGCATTCCTTGCACGTTGAAGTGCTGCTGACTCGTCCTACACCCTGAAATGCAGGTTTGACTCAGGCAACCAAAACAAATAATGATTTTTTTTTTTTTGCTTTGTCACATGTAATTACCCTTTTTGAAACAGTTCCTAAAAGGTGCCAAAGGGGAAAGGAAATTAATATCGAGCAATAAATCTAAATCTCCTTTCCTTAGAGGTCCTTTCTCTTAAGGACAGTAACATTAGAGTTTGCTGTGCCTTTGGTTTATATAAAACTTCCAGAAGGTGTTTTTCAATTAATTGTTGTTATTTGGACAGTTGGATAGTGTATTGTGTCTGTTGCCCTGAATTCTATGGTAACTCCTGTTGTAAACACAGTTCTCTTGCTTGTCCATTTGTTTTCTCTGTTGCTGAACATTATTTTGGACAAGTGTCAGAATGCTGACATCTCAGGCTGTGTTATGGCCTCAAACATTTTATTAAGGTGCTTATCCAAACTCCTAAAGACATCAGATGTTTGAGTAGCCATTGATTTTGTGATTTGCTGCCACTTTGGATTTTGCAGCATTCATCAGAAGTGTTTCAGGCCTGGCCATTACTATTAAATCATTAAATTGCAATCTGGCAGCATATTCCACCATGTTCTGACATTCTGCAGCAGCCCTTATGTCCCTACACCTTTGGTCTACTACCTGAAGACAAAGTACACGATTTTTCTAATGCAAATGTTATTGCTATGAGGTGAATAACAGATGAAATGTGAGTGAAGGTTGAAACAGCTCATTACCACCCTTGCCTATTGGACCTGGGCTCACTGGGAAAACCACAGGAGAAACCAACATATTTGGGAAAGTTTTCTTATATATGAAGAATGGGAACAGTTGAACCCATCTGTTAGTAAAAATCACTGAGGAAAAGATGATGAGGGAAAGGTTTTGAGGAGGAGAAGAAAAGGCAGATACCAGAAGTAAAAAGTAAAACCAGGAGGCAAATAAAATGAAAATCTATCAGGCATATATCTAGATGCAACTTAGATGTTATTTCTACTTGCAATTTCCAAACCAAAATGTCTTAGATTTTGTCTGAAGAGCTGCAGAACTTCTGAAGGTTTAGCTCAAATGTGCTGTCTTTCCTTAGCAGGAGCAGGGCAGAAAAGGGAGTGGGGGAGAATGGAACTCCAGTTCCCAGGCAGATGGGAGGAAATGAAAAAACAATTCAGCAGAGCCCCACCCCCAAATTTAAAGATGCTCCCCATGAAAGGAAGGAATTATTTTTGAGCGAGCTCAGCCTATTATTTGGCAGTGTTTGGAACAATGAATTTTAATTTAAGGTGGCTTTAAAGTAAGAGTAGGAGGAAGTAGCTTCCTGTCGTTTTTTACTAAGAGGAGATACAGCTCCAGTCATACTGAGAATTCCTCCTTCTGGTTCAATCCATTTTAACTTTTCAAGTAGTTTAAGTAGTGTAGAAAGAGAAATCTGGGGACATTTACAAACATCTGCATAAAGATGCAAGAAATTAATTAATTTGGGGAAATATGATAGAAAACCTTTCACTCCTGCTACCAGTAACAAGAAACCCGTCCATAGCAGTAAAATGTTTGTTCCTAATTATCATTGCTGGAGCTGTGTGGTACTGAGCAGATTATAATCATCATTCCAGGTGTACAGTAGGTTTCTGCTACCTCTGATGCATAGCACCACTCAGGCACTCTTTTACCATTTATGATGACCTAACCTTATTTTATTAATTGACCAAAATTGTACCTGTATTTCTAATTGGTGCCAACTCACAGATGTTTGCTGTTCCTGTAGCTCCCAAGTTCCTTTTCCACTAGGTTTAAAATTTTATTTCTTTGTAAGAGTTCAGTAATGGAATTCAAAATTAAGTAGAATATATCTAAAAAGGTTATTTGAACTTCACAATTATGTGTGTTGCTGCATGGTCTGCCCAAGTTAGAAGATGGTGAGATTCCTCAAGGACAAGTGAAGAGAGGGGACCAGGGCCAGGCCTAGCAAAGAGTTTTTGAGTGCTTAATGTCCTTTTCCCAAAACATGGTCTATATTAAAACTTTGAACTGAAAGTAAAATGCCATCGTGTTTGGAGAGCTGAGGTTTTGAAGGGAGGAAATAACAGTATCAAAGGTTGTTTTCTGGTAGACAGAAGAGGTATTTTTACTGGAACAGTAAATATTTGGAACTGAGTTACACTAAGATATAAGAACTGATTGATGAGTTTGGAGTTTTTTTTAAGACATGTGACTATTAATCAAATGTTATTTAGTAATTTTTTTTTAGTGTAGTGAACTATATTTTTTAAAAAAAAGCAAAAGTTATTCAAAAGCCTGAAACTGTTGCATTTTTAAAAGATGTTTCTTTAAATTCTATTTTTGGGAGACCCAATGTAGCTCAAGTCTATTAATCTATTGTTTTAAAAATGGTAATGTGCCAGTTACCAGGATATGAATGATACGATTATAGTAACATTCTCAAAACAGAATGCTGCCTGCTAAACTTAAAATTACAAAACTTTATAAAGGTTCAGTATAAAATTTATTATTAAGAATGGTTTCCCTAAAAAAATAAGTTTTTATTGACAATTTTTCCTTTGGAGTAAGAATCTAACACTAGTTAACTTACTGACATTTCTGACATATCTAAATGGTTCTTTAATATTAAAGCAGATTTGGCCAAGCTCCTTGAACCAGACTGTTTAGGCCCTTCTTGTGTTATGGAACATTTACAGATTTTCCCATGTGTGCTTGTATTGCAACATAAATTCACTGAATGCTATTTGGCAAGTTATTAAGTGGTTAAAGGCCATGACCTTTTGGATGGTGTGGTGGACCAGATTGAAATGTGCGGGTAATTAATATGGAAATGATAAATGCATAAGTACACCCAGAGAATTGTTTGATGCTGTTTAAATGGCAATATTAGAATATCAAAAAGGGAGACAAAAACACGTGTTGCTTATATTAGAAACCTCTGTTAGGACTCAATCAGTGACAATATTGTCAGAAGTGAATGGAATTAGTCCATGCTACAAACCACTATGTGATTTCCTTCCTTGGAAAGGTTACTTTCAGAGTCACAAAGTTTTCCAAAGTGATCCTGTCTTTAGTCAGCCCTGTTCTGTGCCTCTGCTCTTTTCTGAGTTACTGATTTCTTACTGTAACAGCCCATGTCCTCAGCTCTTCAGGGACATCACTCTGCACTCCCACTCCTGTCACTCCAGGCACTTTTTAGACTTTGTAGCATGTCCTCACTAGGCATTCCCCCTGGGAAAGTCTCAGTCAGCAGCTAGTAAAGCTTGTCACTAACAAGGTATCTCCCTTTATGTTCATCTCACAGCTGATTAGCTGGGCAGGATTACTAGGCTTCTAGGTTGAGTGCTATGTGGGATGTCTTATTTGCTATTGATCGGGCTTTTTCAGTGAGGATTCTCAACCTTTGGCTTCTCGCTTTCAGTCATTAACAGATTGTTGCAATCAGTCTTTCACCTGTCCCGGTCTTAATGGAGCTTTTTTCAAGTCTGTAGGCTACATATAAATACTTAAAGGATGATTCTGCTGGAAAAATGTCTTGAAAGGAGAGATGTGTGGGCCTGTTTTGACAGGGGAAGAGGCTTTTGCTCGGTTATTAACAAAGAAATAGAGACACGCAAACCAGTACTTTTGAAAGACATTAAAAACAATTTTGAAGTTCATACACCTCCTCTTCTGGAGTGTATTTTATAGTGGCTTATGGGACAGAGAGGCATAATTAGCACTACATTCATTGCCAGGGACAAAATGCCAACAGTTGTGTGCTTTGTTAACGTTCAATCTGTCTCGTTACCCCAGCATGGAGCATCATTTACAGGTACCTGTATGGAATGAGGAAAAACAGGAGTCTACCCAGGCCTTAAAGGTGTTACCATTATTAAGGATAATACCAACTTCAGAACTACAGACCTGTTCTCATTCTTTTACCACGTGCCTGTGATATCAAATAATCCCAAAAAGAGAAAGGAACTAAATTAATTTCTTTCTTAGTTGCATGAAATATTGTTTTATGCCATACGTTACATGTCAGCGGCCCTTTATTACTGTGGTATGTGCAAGCAGGATAGATCTTCCAAATGAGGAAAGAATGAGCTTATCCCTACAGAGACAGAGAGACTCTTACTTAATTAGAAGTCAGGCACATGTAGAACCCTTACTGACGGATGTATAATTTCAGTTGGTGTGAAAAAAAAAAGACAAGAAGGAAAGAGAAGACAAGAAGGAAAGAGGAGACAAGAGACAAGAGTGTTGCCTTTCTAGGTGCAGTTTGTGTAATCATACCAGATTCATCTGTGCTCTTTTCCATTTGTTTCTGGGCTCTGCCAGGGGACCTCTGGGAATATCCCGGAGCTACATGTCACGAGTTGACAGGAGGACTGCTAATTTTGCCAGCGTGCCATGCTAAATAGTGATTTTGATAATTTAACACACTGTTACTTGATAGAAGCACTCCTGTAGCTGCTTGGGTTTTTTTCTTAATATTAAGCATATATGAGATTCATGTTTGACATGTCAAATAATCTTTCTGTAACGATGATTGTGGACATGGGATGAAATGAGAGGAAGTTTCAGTATCCAAACCCCCAAATTGTGTTCAAGCGCTGTAAAGTAACTGCCATGCTAACAGCTTTGTCTCTCTGGCCTCATTTATTTTATCAAAACACAACAACTATGGAGAAAAAATGAGCAAAAACATTTCCAAAGTGTTCCAGTTGGTTTTCTCAATAATGAACTGAACTTTAATATATTAAATACAAAATAGTAATAAATTACAATTGCACAATTTCTTACAGAGTTTTTATTAAGATCAAAACTTATTTGTTCAGACTAGATTTATATAAATAAATCACAGTACATTTTTACTTGTGTTTAGAAGATTGTAATACGTATTACAAAATTAAGATTTTTTTTTTTGTCCCTCAAACCATCACTGCAAAAGGAATCATGCATTATTTCTACTAAACAAACAAAATGCCCACCTAATTGAGAGAGCCTTGATACAGGTATGGCTCTACTCTCCAAAATTAGACATGAAACACAGAGATACCAGGACTATTTATTGAACAGGAAATAATAAAGTATAGTACAATGTTCATGTGTTATTAAAACCAAAAGTATACCAAAACAACACACCTCTCTTCACGCACCTTTGCAATGGGTATTAAAAATGACAGCTGGCCAGCATGCAACTGAGTCAAACATTCCAGTTTTACAATGTCTACGTCTGAGCAAAAGAAGGAGGAACTAAAAACCCCAGACAAAACAAAGGAACAAATGAACAGCCCAGATGCTTACAAGTCCTCAGGTCATCTTCCCCTCTGTGCCACGTGTGCTGCCTTCGGCGCGCAGACGAAACCTTTCCTGGGTGGTGCCCTCCACTGCCGTCTGGATTAGTGCGCCTTATGGACCTTCAAGGAGATGGAGGTCCTCTCAGAGAACTGGAGGACCCTGGAGAACTTCCAGCTGTAGTTCCTTGCCCAACCCACTCTATTAGAAATTAAGCTCTAAACATGACTCTTGGAACCACTCAGCCTTGAATGTGCAGTGCCACGAAAATACAACTCACACCTCGCACAGCTGGGTTCACCTACTGCAAGGTTGTCACTTCAGGACAGAATTATGGCTGCAAGAGAGGCTTGCCATTAACTGCAACAAGATCCAAGGTGAGGCTGTTGCAAAGTCTGTCCCAGCACAGGGGCTTCTATTAAGTTCTACAGTATTGTGGATTACTTTCTCTACATGGTTTTTTTCTTCTAGATAAGAAAGCCATTGTTTTCTCACTTGATACTGAGATGTAATCACATTACAATGCACTGTTCTAAAGGGAAAAAAGCATTTAATTGATGACACTTCAGATGGAGTCACCTGATCTAATTTTTTTTACTTCTGTTCAAACAAAATGCATCAACAGTAATTTCAGATCGATTTCTACCTGGGTAAACCAGACTTTTCAACTAAATTTTCCAGTCCCCATTTACCGTTTGCTACTTTTAAACTGAAAGGGAGTTTGCAGCAACTTTTTTTTTTGATTGCAGATATTTCCCCACCGTGCTCGAACATTGCCAGGTGATAAGCATGTAAACATGTCTCTTTATGTCGCTGACTTCGGGTGCTCATGATAATATAGCTACATATCATGTTTACTTGTTTAAAAACATATAAAGGAAACCAAGCCAAACCAAAGAACAAAAACAAGCAAAAACCCCCTAACAACCACCCTCTCAAACCAAAAAGGGTGGACTAAAATAACCTCTTCTTTTTCATGCTTTTGCATTGCCCTTTGCTGTTTCATTTTGGACTGAACCAGGAGTTTTCCACTACCACTAGTAAAACTGGACTTCTAAGAAACAAGTTTCTCAAATGTACTGCTTTGGTGTTTTGTGGATCTGCTGGCATAGAAAGCTGAGGTGTGCAATGGCTGGTAAGAACAGCTTGAGCATTGGGTCTTTTATACTACATGTTGTCTTTCTGTTCTGGTACTCCCCACCGCTGCCAAGATTACTGACAGGGAAAAGTGAAACTAAAGAGAGCAGGAATGCTTTTAATGTCTTGTGATTCCAGTGGAAACACACAAAGAAATGTTTCAGCACTCAACTGCAGAAGAGTTGTGCTGGGAGAGTCTTTTCATGGGAATATCACACAACTGTCCATTGTACTTGGCCTCAGTGTCAGTAACTTGGAAGGCTTTTCCATTGCCACTCGCTGCTTTTTCATAAAACAACATCTGACATGGTGGCTTGTTATGGAAAACTAGAAGTTAAAAACTAAAATTTAATAGCACGTTGTTAAAATGAGTGAAATGGGATTAAAATCCTACTGAGATGCACTTCTAAGGGATCTCCTCTTCTGCTTCAGGGTTAAGATACATTTCATACAGCCTAATTATGCATTCACAACAAATAAGGAAACAAATGAGGGTTTTAGCTTTGAAATAATTCTTGTGAGTCTACTACTAATTTACCTCTGAGAATCAGAGTTCAGAAAAGAAAGACTGAACAGTATAGGGACCATAGTTTCCTCTGAGTTTCCAGTGTAACTATCCTCTATTTCTTCCAGTGGCTGTTGTATTATTGTAATACAGTCCAAAGACAGCAGCAGTCTACTGGCAGACCAGAACCATAACATGAAAATATTTCAGGTCTAGGGAATATCATTGGTTAAGTGGAGTATAAGGGTGAAGAGTGAAGTATCCAAATATAGAAAATAGCTATCATTCCATAGATGCACTACTATGATAAGGCAGATATTTGTAAAAAGCACATAGTAATGCCACAGCCTGAGTAACACTTTGCAAGTCATGAGACAGCAAAAATTAGGAGAATATAATAAATTCAGGGGGTTTTCCTCATCCCTAAGCCTTTGAGGTATGCTGGATTCCACTTAAAATGCTCACTGTCACAGAGATTTCTTTCTTGTTTTTTGGTAGAACTGCATTCAAAATAATTCTTTTGATGCCAGACCCTTGAGCATTAAATAAACTGAGTATGGTAATAAAATAAAAGAACCCCAACCCACTGGCAACTATAATGATACTACTTTTTGTTTGATGCCCCTCTGAATTGCTAGGGACAAATCCTAGAAAGTCTCCTGCACTACTGTGTGGGTGTTTTCACAGAACTCTCTTTTGCTAATGTTGCAGTGGCAAAGCTGCCAGCTCTGCGTTCCAGGCAGGGGTGCGTGTATAAAGATTTGTCCAGGAAATCAAAGAACTCCACCCCAAAGCAAGAGCTCTTCCTCCTTTGCTCATGCCCAGCTCCCCATATTGACTCCTGGGACATGAGCCTGGGTAAAGAGTGCAGGACTTTGCCTGAGGTGAGGATCATGCAGGAGCAGATACGCACAATGGATCGTACCACTGGTCTGCTGATACAAAGCTTCAGCTGAAAGAGCAGTGAAATAATTTTGCTGTGGCAACTTCATGTCTGTTTTTCTTTTTTTTTTTTTAAATACCTAATTGTCATCTGAAACTGTGCTTGGGCAGGTCTTGAAGTGTTCAGTTTGCCAGAAGCACCCTTGCCTACGGTATTCAAAGCATGGCACGAGATTTTTGAAAACCACTGTACTTACAGGGCTTCTGCTTTATAGCTGCAGCACACATAACAGATCCAAGATTTCCTGCAAGTGCCAAGCTGTGCTTTACCCACTAGCAATCCTTATTTTCTGAAAGATCCCCATTGATAGGTTATAAAACTAATTTTTCAGATTTGGGGTAAGAATTTTAAATATTTCTTCAATCCATGCATGCATATCTGTGTCAGCAAAGCTGCAAATCCAAAACACTTGGTGACCATTCAACACATACAAGACATGAAGCAATGTGTGTGCACATAAGCTTATCTGAACTATATTTAAAGACCAGGGCTCCCTATCTGTAAGTAAATAGCAGACAACTGTACCTTATAAAATACCCATACTTTGCATTTGCATTTTTTAAACAGAAAATCTTATGTAAAAACTTGAATCAAATTCTCTCTAGAAAAATTTGGAGGAAGAGAGAACTCCATACATGGCTAAATAAGTGGCAAAAAATTATCTCAGGGTCTCTTGGTTTGGGGCATAGATTTTATTGCGTGAAAGAGTCCAGCGCTTTGATTTACTTTCTTTTAATGGTCAGAATTTGTCAGAATTTACAATATACCATCATGTAAAATAGCCCTGCTAATTCTACCACAAATAGTAAAGGAAGTCTTCACAGGCACTATATATTTGGAACAGCATTTTAAAATGACACAGGGTGTGTTTGTGCCCAGGCACACGTGTGTGTGCTTGTTTGTATGATCAAGCATTGCTGCCTGTGACATGCTTCCAACATTTTGCAGTGTTGTGGACACAGCTAAGAAACATTGACTGGAATATCATCTACAAAGGTTGAGGACTAACAACCTCCATGTTATACAGATGGTTATCTTCTTTCTGAAAGAACATACTGTCATTACAAATACCATATGCATCTTGTTCGCACCCAACAGAACTTTTTTTACAGTTTTTCAGATTTGAAGGATTTCTTCAAGCAACCATATTAATTTGTTTTCATGTAGGTGAAAGGAGGCACCAACTGAGACTGAGGACGCAACTTGCCATCAACAAATAAATGTCTGATGACAACCATACTTGAAAAAAATTATTTAGAAAGCTATCCATTCACAATACTGCACCTTTTTTGCAAATACAAGGACTACGTTTGTTGCTGCTTCCCATACTTGTTGGTTTCCATTGCTACCATTTTGCTTGTAAAACCTGGGTTATTCTAATGAACAGAAATGATGACTTGAATTTGGGTAATGCTTACGACCATACAAATAATCTATCAGTAGCAATAGTGTCAGCTGGAGAATTAATGCTACAAGTGGATAACATTACGCTACTTGAAACCAATAGCTCTTCACACAGTAGAAGACTGAGGGTCCTATTCAGCAAATATTCAGGGTCCTATGGCTGTGGCCACAGAGGTTCCAGAAGCTCTCGCTGAGTCTAATCCTGATTCAGGAACCAAAATGATATGCTGTGTATATATTTCTCTGCACAGCCTGGATGCGCTGGACACCCTCCCCCACTTGATTCCTGGGAAGGAAAAAAATATGTCTCTGTTTAGCTCAGTGACACGAAAAGCAATCCACAGTAATGAAATCTAAAGAAGTTAGCCAGGCATGTATGAAAAGAACAGGATGCCTGTAAAAAGGGAAGAACTGTCAAAACCTAATTGTGGGCTCTGGCTGCAATGAAATTTATCAAAGAGGGAAGACACGTTGGATATAATGATGTACAGAACTTTTGATAAGAGACACTTCTCCTATTCTGGGCAGGAACCACTGCGTAACTACTCCTTGTGTGCTGTTTCAAGCCACTCCTATCAATGCTTGGCTACAGCTGGAAGCTTGGTGAGGTGTTTTCCAAACCCAGCTCCCAAATGCCCAGGTCAGCATTTCAGACATGGCACTTCAGCTCACATCTAGCTTGTCACTGAAGGCACAAACACACAGGCAGAGCTTCCCCACTTTGCTCCATCTTCTTTCACAGACAGTTGCACGTTGGCAGCCCCCGTGCTGTGCAAAGGGACGGTGCCTTCCCACTGCGACTCTGCTGAAACTGTGCCGCCGTGGTCCCCAGGCACCGGGAAATGCAATTGCTTATGGACACAGGGCAAGACTGTGGCATTCTTCCCAGTTTGTAGCATCTTCCTACTGCCTGAAAATTATTTATGGAACCGCCTGGGGTCAGCACTCACAACCAGGTAGGTAAATCTTTAGCTGCACCTCTGGTAACACGGCCTCACTCTGATGCATAAAGTACACTCAGAGAGGCTGCCTCCACGTATGAGGTGCTTACAGCATCATTCTTGGCTTGATATGGATACTATGGTCTTTCCTGTCCTTCAGCATTGGGGATAACACTGTGACTGTTCATAAACGTGGTAGTTTCTTTTGACTGGGATTACTGCCTGACTTTAGGCAGTGAGAACAACAATGGAAGTAAGTTGTGGTAACTCTTAGGAAGCAATTTAGTTAGATCTCTGATGAATTTTTGTGTCTCATGAATCAGGATTAGTGTTCCCTGTATTGGGGAGAGGATTAGACAGAGGGATTAAAAGGACGTCTTTACCCCACTGGACTCTGTGGAATAGCCCCTGAGGATATGGCTAAGAAAGAGTTCAACAGGAATGCCAAATTTCTGCTGAATAGGTTAAAAGGGTGAGGAAGCCTCTTCGGCAGCCATCCAAGCGCAGAAGACCTGCATAACATTCCTGCTGAATAGGGCCCTAAAGACAAAAAACAAAACAAAACAAAACAAAAAAAAACATAGGAACCTTGAAAAGCTTTTCTGATTGTGTCGCTTCTTATCAGCGCCTCAGATCTCCAGAGACACTTAAACATATTTTTTTCAGTGCAGTTAGGCATCCTTTGAGATGTGCTAGTGTCATGGATGATATATTGTTACAAGAAAAGAAGTAAATTAGGTTGTTATATATATAAAAAAAAATAGGTCTTGATTGTTCTGTAAACAAGGTCCATTTCTTTTTGTCAATTATCAACTGAGAGTTACCCAAGATCGTATTTAAAACACAAAACCAAACCTTAATTGAGTGTATAATGTTTGGTGTTCTCATACATATATCTCGTAGACATTAATTACTTTCTGTCTCCCTGAAATTGAAAGGAGCAGACTTAACTTTTGTTTTATGTTTGACTTTTAATATCGGTGTTTCCAAGCCCTTTTCTAGGATTTACTTCATGCATGCAGATCTTGGGTTTGTTCATAAAATTTTATCCAACCTCTAATGCCACATGGAGGAATATTCAGAATAATTGTAATGGAGAAGTAGGAAATAAAAGTCTTACCTCTACAAGAGGATGCCAGTGAGCAATGGGTTTCCGAGGATATGAGAGCATTTCGTTCCAGTGGTCACGACCTAGACTTTCTGCATCGTTGCCTACTTGACACACTCCAATGACCTCATTGTGACCTACACTGTGAAAATGTTTCATAATATTTTTTTCTTAAAATTTTACCTTTAGAACCATACCATTTGCATATTTAATCAGAAACATTAATAATGGATTTTTAGAATTAATTCTCTCCTGAAAAATATCATGTACTACAAAATACGTAGGTTTGCTCTTTGCATTTCCCACTAATCAGAACGATTTAATATCTCCCCCCTTTATAGCACCCACTGTGCCTATGTGCATTTGTTTCTTATTTTTGCATGAAGAATATAAAAGGTTCTTTGCCTCTGTTCTGTAATTAGCTGCAAATAAAAGTAAACTCTAAGCCACAATTTTATAACTGGAGGTCTGTGTGTGAGGAGTTTGAATAAATGCACACAAACAGAACATCAGTGTGCAGAGTGTCTGATTATATGCTCAATTACTTCGGTTTTGGTAGACGTATATGCAGCTTAGTTATGTCAGCTATGAATGCAAATCTGTATTTTGAAATGTAGAAAGGAAATTCTGCCCGGCGAAACAAAAAATTCAAATCTTCTACCAATATCAACATGAAATTAATTCTCCACTTATAGGGACAAAATTAATAACTTTCTTTCTGGATGCAAATCTGCCGAGCAAGATTTCATAAGCCAACAGTTGATGTCGTGTTACAGCTACAGGTATCTCACCGGTCATAATCCATAACAGCTATCGACAAGTTAATTTGGTCAATGTTTTCTGGAGGGACGTCAAAGACTATGGCTTCATTGTAAACGGGATTAAGGGTATTCCTCTTGGTGGAAGTTTTTCTTTTCTTTAGTCGCCTTCCTTCACACATTAAAGAAACCTTCACATAGGGATCTGTGTGAATCATAAGAAAAACGCTGATTTTCTTTTGACACTTTCAAGCAAACATAATGGCAAGTGAAGGGAGCAGACTTCTTGCATTGCCCATACCTGCTTGCAGAATTCATCTTCTGGACCTGACTGGAATTTGAGCTTCTTTCTTACCATGGGGTGCCTGGGACGCAGTGGAGCTTTGAAAGCTTTACCTGGTTGACTGCTTATAATGAACAATTTAGGTTCAAGAAGCCCCTTGTCGTGCACAAACTTCTCGGAGGGTATTAAAATATCCACTGAACCATGTTATACATGAGTATTTTACACAACAGCCTGTGTATCAGCCTATTTATAGCAGCCTAATTACTTGTTAGATTTGTAGCACAGACAGAAGATGACAATGTTTTTCACAACGGGATTTACTGATGTATGGTTAAATATAATTCAAAATGTAACAATTAGCAGCTTATATTTCTCAGGAGAATTATAATTATTTTTAAACTCCTGAATATAGTAAAAAAAAAAAAAAGCTATTTATTTGCAGGTCCTTTCTGGGAGCTCCACAACTCCCTGCTAGTATTTAAAAGTAATTTATGAATTTTTACTTAAATTAGTTTACAATTTTCATTATCAAATTTTGAAAAGGTTGCTGAAAGGACTCTGGGATGGTCACTTCTTTGTCCATATGCCAACAAAAGCAACATTGGTTCAGTGGCTCTTGGAGACTGGCAGAGAGGGTCAGTCTGCCTCTGTGCCATAATCATAATACTCTGCTGCTCAAATTCCCGGTATTAGGAATGCATTTTGGCCAACTCATGCTACTCTGAATCACAGTAGCTATAGAAACAATAATCTCACTGTCTACTTAAGAGTAAAGTACTTTAAACTGTCGGTTGCAACTGAGTAATCTAAAATATATTATTTATTTCTCACAAACTTCTGTTCTCAAGTAACTCAAGAGCTCACAATATAAGAACCCTCTTCTCAAAAATCATTCTGGGATTTGAAAGGGTTGAATTCTTTGTCTCTCAGGAGGGAAATGGGACAGAAATCCATACTGAACATTAAATTAATTCATACCTGATGCTCCTGTGATATCCATTGCTTTTAAATTTCTTGCCTTTATTATTGTAATAGTTAGTCTACCAGCTGTTGGAAGGTAGCAGAGGGAAAACATAAGGTCACCAAGATCCACGTTATCCTGTTCCAAGAAAAGAGAGATAATACGAAGCAATAATAAGAATTTTCCTACCCACAACAGAAGCTAGAGATAAAAATATACCTTTGGGGATCTACAGTTTAGCAGGCAAAAGCTGAATTCTCATTCTGAAACACATCTGAAAAAACAGACATCCATCTGCATACAAGGTTTGAGTCGCTACGTTTGTTGCTGGACCACCAAAGTTCTCAAGGGTAAATGAGGTTTTAGTTTCTAGCACTCAGTCCTTGGAGCTGACACTCATTTAAGTGATGAGGTACTGTAAGGCACCAGAAAAATCTTTGTCCTGTTTTATATTTTGTAGTGATTTGTTTTGTACCATTGACGAGCAGCCACAGATGTCTGTGCCTTTCCTTCTGGTCTGCAGGAGGATACCCACAGAGAGTTTCACAGAAAAAAACCATGGGCTGCCCAGGGCAAAGTCTTAAGCAACTCTCAAATTTGCATAAACTCAGGTGTGATAGGTCTGAAGTGTCTGTGGCAATGGGACAGTCTCTGCCAGCAGTGGAGTAAGGGCATTACTTCCTGTGCCTGGAGCAGACAAGCTCCCTTATCAACCTTTTTCAACCTGATTTACAACCTGATTTAGAACCCTTTCCTCTGTTAATGGCATTAACAGGTTTCAGAAAGGTAGTAGCAAGTGTGCAAACCCTATCTGCAGTTACAAAGCATTGCTTTCTTGGTTGTTTTTTGTTGGTCTTTTTTGTTTGTTTTTGTTTTTGTTTGTTTTTTTTGATTGGTTGGTTGGTTGTTTTTTAAAAAGGGAAATTGAAGTCTTTTATGAAAAATATACTGAATAAAGGATTGTATTAAATTATTTCTGTGATTTGATTTGCATTGTTTTGACCGAGCAATGAATTCATACTTTCACAGACCTGTCTCCTGTAACCTAATATTTCATTCTTGACTTCAAAGAATTATAGTATCCAGCCAATTCAAAGCTACATTCCAGATTTTACAGGGAGGGAAATACAGCTGTTGTGGAGTATGTGTATCTTGCCCACTTAGCTTTGTGCCATAGCTCCTCTCCTTTCCCAGTTTGGCTCCTTCTGTGTCAGCCACCAAAAAATGAAGGGTGCTGGATGATATAGAAAGTAAGTGAAAATAGCTCTCAAAACAGCCCCTAACACAGCTTTGTCTCTGAGCTGTCTCTGGCTTCTGTACAGATCAATGCCCAGAGCCTGAGCCGTTATATTACATAGTTTCATGAGTTACTAGGGGAGATAAGCAGGACAGAAAATGTTGTTGTCAGAGTCATAGAAAAACGTTGTGTCAGAAGGGAATTTTAGGTGTTGCTTGATCCAACCCCTTGCTCAAGAGAGGCATCTTCGCTTTAGCTCTCAGCTCATTCGAGGAAAAAACCCAAAACATGTACATTCATTCAAAAGTAGGTCCTTTCCTTGTGCTGTTATTTAAGAGAGATGCTGCCAAAGAAGGAAAAGGCTGATATTATGGGCCCTTTGTCAGGAATAACCAGCTTTTAACTCTGAGTTGACTTCATCACTTATCATCTTTTCTGTTCTAAAGTTCAGCGTTTCACTCTATTAGCTGTAAAGCTAATAAAGGCTGTGAGAATATCGAGGTAGCTCAGATGAGTCACCCAGTTTAGTGTCTCTTGATGGTGCACACTTGGTAACAGACCTGCTGCAACAAACTGTGTCACTGACTCACTTTGTGAGAGGATCAAAGTGCTGTTTGAGAAGGTGATGCTGTAAGAAGTATTACAGGCTGAAGCAATGTCAGCACATCCAGGAGGACAGCACATCCAGCACTTAACAATACAGGAGGAATTTCCCAGTGATCAGCTGCAGCTCGATACCTATAACCTGGGGAACAGGAAGCAAACTTTTCACTTATCCTTCCCACTGTGAGGAAGAGCAACTTCCAACATGTGAGTGTACTTCACCAGCTCTGGGGTGCTGAGATTTGTGGCTGTGGAATCCACTCGTGCTGCATTTCTGAGGGGAGCAGGATTTCATAAGCCATTTAAGGAAATGATTGACTGAAGCCATCTTTTGGGAATTTGTCAGTCTGGCAAGTTTTTTATAGAGAGGTTATTTTCAATTAGTTGGTCACTAGCCTTCAGAAGAAGACAGCATTGCTGAATCACTCAGGTTTTCCCTGACCATAAAGAAGCCCATCAGGCAGCTGTTGCTATAACTGTGTATTTTGGCATTCCTCAATATTGTCAGCCACAGCAGCCTCACTCTGTATTCAACTCCAGTGCTCCACATGGTGACTAGGAATTCATTCTGTGAGTACTGTAAATGCTTTACTGTTACTACCAAATACAAGAGTTTCCATTCCAGACTTGGTCATCCTGAATGAACATTTTAAAAACTTGTTATCAATTCTTATCAAGAAGTTCGTAAGTAAATATATTACTACACAATTGTTTCATATATAAATGCCAAGAAAAATCATAGTATCACAGAATACCCTGAGTTGGAAGGAACTCACAAGAATCATCAATTCCAACTCCTGGCCTTGTGTAGGACACCCCAAGAATCACATATGTGCCTGAAAATGTTGTCCAAACACTTCTTGAACTCTGTCAGGCTTGGTGCTGTGACCTGGGGAGCCTGTTCCAGTGCCCAGCAATCCTCTGGGTGAAGAACCTTTTGCTGATATCCAACCTAAACCTCCCCTGACACAAGTTCATACCATTTCCTCAGTCTTGTCACTGGTTACCAGAAAGAAGAGTTAAAATATGTTAACCTTCTGCATAAATGAACTGGTTAGGAAAGAATGGATCCCATATGTTGAATGCAGTGTCAGGAATTATGCCATAATATACTGGTCCACAAACTTTGTCTTACATGTGAAAAATAACTGTCACCTGCACTGTGATGTGTTTTTAGCAAATGCTGCAATGACAATAATACTTCATTAACACTTTTTGAAAAATTGCATTGGGTATTATATGGGAAAAGCATTGTTATACTGGAAACAGAGTCTGTGGTTTCTTCACCCTTTTCCAGTTCTTGAAGTTACAGGTGTTGTAGCAATAGGTCACAGATGACCGTGAGATTGTCTGTTCATGAGCCAATACCAGCAGTAATCTAACCAGGGCAGTCTGGGAACGGGACTGAAGGGAAGCTTGCAGGCAGCAGCAGGAAAGAGACACACTTTTTGGCATGCAAATCCTTCTCCAAGTCTGAAAAAGAAGCCCTGCCTACTCCCACTTTCATTTTGACTTGTAGAGAATGAATGACTACTCCATCTTACTGGCTACTTGTGAACGTTTCTTTAATTTTGGTAAGACAGATTTTCTAATAGAACCTTTCCCCATGCCCTGGCTATTCCTCCCTGCTTATCCCTGTTTCTGTAATCAAAGGGCAACATTTTCAGCTGTTCCAAACATTGTAAATTTTGCTGTTGGGGCCTCAAGGTTCAGTCAGAAAGGTTTAATGAGGGAATGTTCTTCAGAGAGTGCCACAATCTGTGACTGCACCACAGAACTTGCTCGTGTGTGTGTGCACCTGTCTGAATAACTGCAGTGGAACAGGCAACGTGCTCTGACTGGGGACCGGCGATGTCACAGGCGTGACCCTTCCATCCAGCAAACATGAGTCTTTACTATAAATTCAGTTTCTTAACAGAACCAAAGCCTATGCAACAGAGCACAGAGAGGATTAGTGCACATCATCACAAGTTTAAAATCACTGAGCTACATGGCTTAAGCCACGGATTGTCACTAAAGGTGTGCTGTATTAGCAAGAAATAGCTTCAAGGAACAGAATTAACAAGCATAGAGGGCAGGATCTTCTGCAAGGATTATGCTCCTGTTTGAATTGAGTACTTATGTGTTACTATGTATGCTTAACAATACGTGGCAATGTCTTACACTGCCAGAGACATTTTAAAATTTCTGCATAGAAAGAAATTTCATAATATGGTAGGTTATTGAGTCATGCATGTTGTACATTCTAAATATGTGTCTTACTTCATTCAGTGTGGTGCTAATACCACACGGTGCATGTTATGGTGCAATCATGACAGCCTCAATATAACCAGACCAAAAGGCTGGGCAATGGCATTAATAACTTAAAAGAAAATAAGTAGAAGATAATTAAATTCCAATTATAATTTCTGTATATGTACATGCTGTGTATTATTTTTCTTTTGGTCCTGTTCAGCATGAAACATAAAAGAAGAGGAAGAAAACACTGCTTCTATTTTTAATCTATAAATCTATAACCTGCTCATTCCTGTGTTTTAAAAAAGGTAGAACATGACTGGCATCTGCTTTGCTTTTCCAGTGCCCCAGGCTTTGGCCCCAGGCTTGAGGTGATGGCTGAGTGCCTTGATGTTGTTAGCTGTGCCTTACAACACGCTGCACAGCCTGTTTTTGATAATCCCACCTAGATTTGTCTCTGAGCCCTTGTCCTGTTCATGCAGTCCTTTATTCAGAAGGGCAAGAGCATGAAGTTTTCTTCCTTTAAAACGTCCCAGTGTTACCTAGGAGAGTTATATGTATTCAATCCAGCTGGAGAGTTCAAACCAGAGGTGTAAATCACAAGGTTTGCCTGAAAACCGCAAAGAGAATGAATCCCACACTGAAACCTCAAGGCAAATTTTACTCTTTGATTCCTGTTAGGAGGATGGAGACATAGCCCCCCTCACATTATCCTTCCTCCTTGCTCCATTTTCTGGTGGAAATAATTGATAACATTATAAAAATCATATTATTTGAATAATTTTCAGTGGCTTCTACTGAAAGGTTTAATGTTCCTACTTTTCCAAGAAAACATTTCTGTTTTTCCTCCTGTAAAATTAACACAAAATAAATATACCTTTAAAAATGTTGAATTCTAATAGTAATATTAATAGGTTTTTAGTCTAGAATCACATGGTATTTATAGAACTTAAAATTATTAAATTTTGATGGCAAATAGCCTGCAGGATAAATCACTCCCTAGTACTGTGTCAGCAGCTCCATGCTGTTGCTTAGTGAGTATAACTCAGCATATTAAACAGGG